ATGCTTCTCTTAGTTGAGGTTGTATTTTAATGTTAGCGTTAGTCCTATCTACCTCTGCTCTGATGAGTCACGAAGGACGTGGGCACCCGCTATCCCGTTCCCTAATGGAACCATCTTTAATGTCACAGTGAACTTCCGAAATACTGGGCACAGTCTCTGCGAAGGTGACTTCGTTAGTATTAGCATATTATTCTAGCGGACCAAGACAAGTGAAGAGAGGACCTAGGTAGGTAGACAGTTATACAGTGGCAGATATGTTGGGGATTTTCTTGTCAGAAGACGGCAGAGGCTGTGAACGCGTCCTTTATCTGGGGGTCTAGAAGTCACCAGATTCTCACGTTACTTCTTGAGAGTAATTTTAATCTACAAAACTGAACGGATCAATGCTTAGATACCTGGAGGCCTATAATATAGGTTAGGCTACCGGGCTCGTAATCGTGAGGTTGCGGGTTCGTGGGTTGGAGCCGCGGGCCCGACGTTGCCTTGGGAAAGGAACTTTGCCCGAATTTTCCTCATTTCACCCAGGTGGGAATGGGTACCCGGCCATAGACAGCGAAAGATTTTGTCAGTATGTTAGTGTTTTAGCGCCTATGAGTGGCCACTTGCACTGTATGCTTCTCGGGAAGATGAGGTTGTTTCAGAATGCTCTCAGGTCTGCTAGGGTAATAGTATAGATGGAGAAGCGCATAGAGCTTGCTGATGAGCGGGGGATTTGCGCTGTACAAATGCTATCAACTATTATTTGATTTATCTTTGACTCAGAGGTTGACGTGTAATGAACTTCCATCCTCCACGGTCCCGAGGTGTTGTTGCACATTCTGCCATATCCAGTCCAGTCCATGTTTATTATTATGTTGTCCATCCATTTTACTATGTGTCTTCCTCTAGCTCTTCTGCCCCACATCCTTCCTTCAAGCATCTCTTTCGCAATGGTCTCGTGTCGTATTAAGCGGCCATAGCATTGCATTTCCCTACATTTCATATTATTCAGCAGGGTTTGTCTTGTGTGTGGAATCTGACACACCTAACTTTGTCTGTTTTACTTTCCAACTTATTCTGGCCACTCTACGGTGGCACCACATTTCAAACACTGCTATTTTGTTTTCTTCGATATGGACATGTGCAGTCAGTGCGTATACCACACGGCGCTGTTTGGCTAGAGCTAGTCGGAGAGAGAAAGGCCGACGACAAACGCTACCTAAGAATTACAAAGCTGTATCTCACATTTGGGGCCGTTTTGAGGTTACAAAGACCATGAGATTTGTAGACACGAAACGGTCTATCTGCTCGATCAAAATCGTAAGATCATTCGGAGCCGTTAACAATATGTGAGGCATTGTGGCGAAATCAGGCGCTCGTCAAAATAATGCAAAAGAAGATACTTACATTTTTCGTCCAGTTTGACACGTGCTTTCAATTTTTTTTTTGGCTCAACACCATTTATGTCCTTTTAAAAACATTTCTGAGATGATTTTCCTGGAAAACGTTGATAAAAGGCACAGCAAATGTAAAGTTTAAGTTTCCAAGGACTCTCAAGCTTTAGAAATCAACCAACTTTTTTTCGTTAGTTTTATCTCTGAAACCAGGCCATCCCCGCCTCCTTCAGTAGCAAATATCTCCACTTTTATATATAAAAGAAATGTGGGTTGTTGTTTTTTTCATTGCAAGAAAGTCAAATGATCAAGCTTAAAGGTGATACCAATAATTTTATATTGCTAAAAATTGTCGAGCGCCTGATTCCAACGCGTCGTGATACATATACTCATATTTCAAAGAACTGCATTAAAAAAAAATTGAAATGATGTGAGACTCTAAATCTTTGAGGTCAAATTTCTCAAAACTGAGTACTGAGCAGATAGAATATTGTAATTCTTGGGTAGCGAGAAGTAACTTTGTCAAAGAGCTTTGTCTAAGCCAGTGGAGAAAAGCTCTCTGGGTCTCCTGAGGGGAGTGGGGGGGGGGGAGATCTTTTCACCGCGTACAACCACACTCACACATACAGCGTTGTGTCGGTGGCCTAGTGGTTAGGCTATCGGACCCGTAATCATGAGATTGCGGTTTCGGGTGTTCGAGCCTCAGCTCGGTCCGACGTTGTGTCTTTGGGAAAGACACTGTATTCGGATTTCCTATTTAAATTTGGCTCACTCCTTTCGGAGACGGACGCTAAACTCGGAGGCTCCCACCTCTTAAATAACCTACAAGTGCAGATAGGGACTTTAAAGCTACACCATTTCACCATTTTCATAAACAGAGTTTTTAAAAAAATGGTTTAGTAAAGGTTTTACGGCGCTCACAACTGCACAAGGTCATATGAGCGCCAGAAGATTATAGAGGTGTTATAAGAGAGTAACAAACATAAAAAAGAAATAAGGGAGATATGGACGATAGATGTTTAATGGGAAATAAGCAAACCACAACCAGAGCAACCGCCAACCACCCAATTTCACAAACAGAGCAACACAACTCTTCTAGAATACCTCGATAGTGGAGGAGAAACCTTAGACTAACTTCTTATGTGGATCGATGGATGGATGAATCAGTATGGCGAGTATTCAGGTAATTAGGCCAAGGAAAATTATCTTACAAAATGAATACAATTATGTGAATTGAGAATAGCAAGCCAGATGCGCTAAAGATGTGGGCTTTTTGTGTTGAGTTTCGATCGATGCTCCGCCCCAGTCGGCTTACGTTGGAGAGACAATTAGCAGGAGATCATTTAATCATGTCTGTATTATTTGTGTCACGACGCGGTGGAATCACACGCTCGTCAATTTTGGGGCATGTAGAGTTATTAGTATCATCTTAAATCTTGTTCATGTATCTTGCTTTCAATGAAAAAAATATAACCATTTATCTTGAATAAAAGTCGAGATATCTGCAACTGAAGGATGCGTAGGTCGCCTTGTTTCAAAGTTTAAATTGGGGGACTATCGTGGCCTAGTGGTAAAGGTGGGTGTTCGCCTCTCATTTAAAGGTCCCGGTTTCAAATCCGGGTAGTGACTGAAAAAACATTTCTTCCCTAAAATTGTCTCCTTTCACTTCCATTCCTGCTCTCTAACAATGTTCTGTTGTCTGATTTCGTCTCCGCTTCCTGCCCTCACCTCAGGGCTCCTAACTCTTTATGCAGTCTTTCTACAGTTCTCCTTGGCTCCTCCTTACTGCTGTCTTTCAGTCACACCTTTGATCTTTTGGTGTGATCCTCGCCTTCTCGGACATGGGCGAAAAATCTCGGAGGCCCCGTGCGCCAGTTGCGCACGTTAAAGATTCCTTGGTGGTCTAAAATCGATAAGAGTAGGCTTCGGCAAAAAAGAGGTTAGATTAGCGAGAAAACGGCCGCCAAAGAAGTTTGGTTATTTTCACAGCTTGAGAGCCCGTGGTAAATGAAAATTTACATCTTTTTGTGCCTCTAATCAACGTTTTTACCGTAAACTCCAAATACAAATGTGTTCTTTAATGAACATAAAGAATTTTCGCAAAAAATGTTTACAAATAAATTCGATAAAAAAGCCAAACTGGCCCGAAAATGACAGTTCCTTCAATTTTATTATTTTGACGAGCGCCTGATTTTACCACGCTTTTCCTCACATTTATTAAGATTTTCCCCAGGAGATTAGATGTAACGAAAGTGGGTCACACGATGTCTTTTAAAAGCGACGAATTGAGAACAAAAGAACTTGATCACGTGATCCTCATTCCATCATTTTATTTCTCTCTCAGCATTACGACATTTCAGCACCGGTCCTTCCTTTTGTCTGTCTCTCTCCGTTAGCTTAGTTTTCTTCTGTGTTGTGGAAGTACATGCGTGTTTTTTTCTGCTCGTTTCCCTCTTGTTCTATTTCACTTCCCTCTTTTTTCAGTTTAAATTAGAATTTGTTTTCGTTTTAATCAGGTTTTTACGGCGCTCCCGACTGCATATTAAAGTCATATGACGCCAAGGGGTGGATGTCAACAGAGAAGTGAAACGGGGAATCAGGCTTACTCTGCTCACCTCTTTAGCCTCAACAGCACAAAGTCTACTTCGACAATCTAAGCACCCCGGAAATAGAAGTTGACAAGAGAGTGACAAACATAAAAAAGAGTTAGAGGGAAAAGAAGATGGTAAGCATGAGGAAAGAAAAAGCAGCATTTCCCCCTATGTTGTTTCAGAACAGTATGAGCATGACTTTGATATGTCAGCCCATTTACAAATCTATTGTGCATAAGAATATATAATTATTACTACAACGGCATCTTAACCAGGAATATGAACAACAACAACAACAACAACAACAACAACAACAACAACAACAACAACAACAACAACAACAACAATAAAAGCAACAACAACTTGCTTGTTTGAGTAAAGAGAAGCACATCAAAACAATAGAGGTCATTTAGTGCTGAGAAAAAGTAAGTCAGACTGGCAGACAGAAACAACAGAGGGGCAGTAAAGAAGTAGGACCTAACAGTGGCGCCCTCTAACCACCCACAAAAACAACAAAAACAACATCAACAACAGTAACAACAACAACAACAACAACAACAAAAACAACAACAACAAAACCACAGCAACAACAACAACAACAACAGCAACAACAATCGTGAATCGCATATCCAGCCTCTGCCTCAGATTAGGTAGGTAGAAACAATGAGGTTCACTGCAGAGCATAAATAAAAACTTGACGCCAAGATTATTTGCCAACCGAAAGTTCCGGCAGTGGCATCTCTTCGAGGAGGATTCAGGGAGGTTGGACTACCTCACCCGCTACCCAAGGGAGGTGGTGGCCCTGGCGAAAGGCACGCTCTTCGGTGCTCCAAACACTTCGAACGGATAGGCTACCACACACGCACAGCAACAACAACAATAACAACAGCAACAATAACAACAGCAACAACAACAACAACAACAACAACAACAACAACTCTACCATACCCCCATCCTCACCCACCCACCCACCACAGACGCACAGCACAACATGTACACACATTGACCAACGTGACGTCACAGTGTCCCAACTGACCAGCAAAAGTCCCTTGTAGGCGTACAGGGCTCCGAGCCAGATCTCCATGTGCTGACTCGTGCAGTAGTCAATCTTTGGGATGATCTCGTAGTCTTCGTACACCTGGACGGACAGACAGACAGACAGGCAGTTTTAGTTTAGGTAAGAGTTTTACGGCACTTGCAACACAATCAAGTCATATAAGTGCAGAAGAATCGAGGTGTTACAAGGCAGTTTTTGTTTTAGTAGAGGTTTTACGGCGCTCGCAACTGCATAAGGTCATATGGGCCCCAGAAGATTAGAGGAGTTACGAGAGAGTAACAAACATAAAAAAGAAGAAAAGGAGATAAGGACGACAGATATTTGATAGAAAAGAAGGGGGAAATCACACCAGAGCACCCGCCAATCTCCCACGTTTACAAGAGAGTAACAAACACAAAAAGGAAGGAGGGGAGATAGAGAAGATATATTTTTTATAGGAAAGAAGAAGCAAACCACACCAAAGCACTCGCCAACCACCCACCTAGACAGACAGAAAGACAGACAGACATATTCAAAAACTCTCTCTCTCTCTCTCTCTCTCTCTCTCTCTCTCTCTCTCTCTCTCTCTCTCTCTCTCCCTCTCTTTCTGTCTCTGTCATTCTCTCCCTCTCTCTCTCTTTCTACTGTTTTTTTAAAAATATTCTTTCTCCCCAAACCCATGTTTTATTTCACCAGCCTATCATTCACACACACAACCACACACACATACACAAACAAACACACATACACACACACGCATTATATACCTCTGGACTTAACCGTGTGGTCGCCTTCTCAAACACACACGTACACACAGACACATAATCACACACACACACACACACACA